TATCCCACCATTCCTTATCTTTACTGGCAAGCATCACCTATCTGCCTGGTACGAGGAGGCAGAGATCCCACGCGACTGGGCGATCGCAGTCAGTGACAACGGCTGGACGACCAACGAGCTAGGAGTTGAGTGGCTAAAGCACTTTGTCAAGCATACAGATGGCAAGGTTGTTGGGGCACGCCGGCTGCTTATTCTTGACGGCCATGAGAGTCACCAGTCTCTTGAGTTCCAAGAGCTCTGCAAGGAGAACAATATCTACACGCTCTGTATGCCGCCTCACTCGTCTCACCTACTCCAGCCTCTTGACGTTGGCTGTTTCTCACCGTTGAAGCGCGCGTACAGCCGTGAGGTGGAGAGTCTAATACGCAACCATATCAACCACATCACCAAGCTAGAGTTCCTGCCAGCGTTCAAGGCAGCCTTTGATCGATCCTTTACGGCAGCCAATATCTGCTCAGCTTTTCGAGGCGCAGGCCTTGTCCCTCTCCAGCCAGACGCTGTTCTGTCAAAGCTTGACGTGCAGCTGCGTACGCCTACTCCTCCAGCTGCTCTAGTAGAGGCTCTCTGGCAGGCTCGTACGCCTAGCAATACACGCGAGCTTGAAGCTCAATCGACGTTAATACGTAATCGCGTCCAGCGGCATCAAGGCTCTTCACCTACTTCAATTATCGCGGCAATTGACCAGCTTAAGAAGGGGGCTGAGGTAATAATGCTTTCAGCTGAGCTAATGCGCGATCGGATTGCTAGTCTTGAGAGAGCTAATACAGTAGTATCAGAGCGTAGGCGGCGTAAGAAGAAGCGGATACAGAAGCGTGGAGTCCTTACAAAGGGAGCTGGAGAGGATATACTCGCTCAACGTGAGGCTGATGAGCAGATTACTCGTGAGGAGCGTCAGGGAGGAGAGCGATCAGGTGTCAGCCGCCAGGCTCTGGCGCGCTGTAGTAGGTGTAGGGAGACTGGCCATAACTCACGTACATGCAAGAAAGATACTCTAGATAGTAATTAATCTATTACGTTAATATCTATCAAAGCCAATATAATGTGGTGGAGCTATACGCTTGTAGAGGTGCGCGAAGTTGGTGGGGTGGCCGACTCGCTTGTATGGCCGACTCGCTTGTAAACTACGTTAATTGCCATGAATGTTATATCGCACCCGACTTTACTATATACATACTGTGATCAGAACGAGATCCTCTTAGCCATGTTTCCGCCTCATTCAACCTATACTCTGCAGCTGCTTGGTGCATTGTTGTGCAAAGCTCTCTCAACTGCGTACGCAGATGAGTTGTCAAGCTACCTTCACAAAAGCTAGAGACTTCTTTCTACTATTCGAGAAGGCCTGGATGAGCTCTTTCAAGCAGGAAACTATACTCAAGTCTTTTGTAGCAACAAGTGTATCACTAATCAACACAGACATTACACTCCAAAGGTTCAATAAGCCTAATGTAGATAACTAGGAATGGAAAGAGAGCTCTACTTCTATCCTTAATTGGCTGGATTGGCGGAAGATGAATCGTTAGCACAATCTAGTTTAGAAAGCCAAACTAATCAAGTACGTCGAGAAGCTTAGTCGATCACTCTACCACATCTTAGTCCAGATTTGGCTGTTTCGACATAAGAACAAGAAGCATAGGGAGACGCTGACTATTAAGAAGGAGCTCAAGAGTCTTAGTCAGTTACTTAATCTTCGGCAGCGTTATGAACATCATAATAGAGCTATAATCTGGTCAACAAGTAAGCTTAGAGAGGTACGTGCTTGTGAGGTTGTAAAGGAGCATGAGGAGAGAGAGCTGCAACTCCAAAGATCTGAGAGATTTCAGTTTAAGAAGAGAATTCAGCTACGTAAGCTGAAGATATCTGTAAAAAAGCGTGTAGCGCGAGAGGCCGCTAAGGTAGAGACCGAGAAAGAGAAGGCTGAGAAGGCTAAGCAAGGAGTGTGATCAATAAGTTGACCGATTCAGAGCAGAAGTTTCGGTCGCTGGGTTTGATAGAATGTCACCCGTCAATTTGTGGTTAATTAAATTTGACAGCTCAACTTAAAGGAGATAATCGCACAAGAAAGCCAACTGCTTCGAGCGTCCCAAGTTTGTATCAATTAACTAACTTTGAACTACTAATTAGTAGTTAGCCAGTCAACTGCAAGATGATCGTAAAAGCAGCCCAATGCAATAGCCTCTGTTTCTGAGATGCCACACCAACAAGACGGCTGCTTAGAATTCGCTTGGATTAGATGAAACAACCGGGAAGACAATCCAAATAAGCCACAAAATGCGAGAAAAAAATACAACGATGAAGAATGTGTACTTGTACGGGCTTCTCTTAACTGAGTAGCTTTTCGTGTAGTCTTTTCTCGGGTGCTTGTCTGAAGACAATAAATCAAGGCTAAAATCATTAGGTCGATGTGGCTCTTCTAGAAGGTCTTTGCTTTCTTGTTTCTAGAAATAGGGCTGCTAACTTTAGACCCTATTGACGAACTTTTCCTGGGAGTACCTTCTTACCTGAATCATTCTCCGTTTTCCTGAGCCTCTAATTATGCGAAGGGCCAATTCCAATGAATAAGTAGAAAGCTAATTAATAGGAACAGACCACCTGCCAGCTCAGACCATGCTTGCTTACCGTCGAGAAATTCGGAATATAAGTTAGTGCTCAAGGGCGGACGAATCTCGCCAGCCTACCGCATATCAGTGCAAGGTTGTTAAGCATACAGTACAGTATCACAGGGGTAACCAATCAAGTGGTTAGATCCAGAGTCCTATGAGCAACTGCCGAGTAAATAGCGTCGTATCGTTCAGAAGCCAATACGGATAATACTTCGGGGATTTGTTCGGATTTGTATTGAAATTTGTAGGATTAGTCATGCTAGAAAGAATGCAAAGCTAACTAGTATTTATAAAAGACCCCAATTACCGAATACACATACACTCTCATGCAGTTGCAGCTTCCGGTTTCTGTAAGCAGGCGACCTCTGATCCCACGCTAAGCCTCTGTCGCTTAGTGGTAATATTGCCCAAACAGTATTAGTTTCTGTCAGCGATACGTCTTCTTTCAAGCGCTCAGACCAATCAATGCATGATATTCACAAAGTCTAACCTCCTTTGGATAAGCGTATACCAAGCGGATTCGTGTCCCGTGTGGGATGACAGTTGGGCTGTGTGCGCAAAGCGGAAGCTGCAAGTGCATGAGAGTGTAGACGCGCTTGAACGTGTCGGCGACTTAACTAGTCAGTTTTTGTGCGATACACACTAATCTTCCAACCGTGTATAAATATCCATTCTCGGAGATTTTAGGAAATCTCCCGAGAACTCCGGCAGACTGCAAATAGTCACTGTACGCCAAACCGACCCATGGCGAAGCACACGCGTGTAGCTGTAAGCAGTCAAGTGTTATTGCTGAATTTAGCATTAAGACACACAGAAGCACCAACAAAACAACTCAAGTCAGCACTTTCCCTAAAGCTTGTTGATATACGCATGATACATTCGCCTGTTCTCCGATCCGCTCCAGCCCAAATCCAGACAGCAGCTGTTGGGCCCGAGTAATACATCTGTAGCGAATCTAGAGTATATTCAATCCTTTCAAGATCAGGAGATGCTTTGCTATCTGCTGATACACATTCTCTGTTTGCAAGCAGTCCTAGGAGTACCATATGACGTTCTACCATTACGCATACCAGCCCTTGTTCCAAAGGATACAAGTCTGTTATCGGGCCGTGGCGCGTTTCAGCAGCTCATAGACCACACAAATTTGGATGTAGGAACCTTCTCCCAATCGTATTGGTTCAACACTACGTACTGGGGAGGTCCAGGGTCTCCAGTAAGTTAATATATCTGAGACTAAATCTACTGCTTATGAGATGTACTTGCTGATGCATGACTTAACAGATAATTTTCTACACACCTGGTCAACATGCGGCTACCGATCGTCTACACTATCTAACAGATACAACCTTGCCTGGCCTCGTGGCTAAAGAGGTCAGGGGTGCTGTCGTTCTAGTTGAGCGTATGTAAACTTTTTGCTCTTTGTGTTCAATCTTTTTCTCGATATCGCCAGCCTCGAGACACTACTGATAACGTTGTGCTGATGTTGTTGATAGATCGTTATTTTGGAGAATCACAACCTTTTAGCAATCTTTCTACCGCCAACTTACAGTACCTTACACTAGATCAAGTCCTCGCCGATTTCGTGCATTTCGCACGTACAGTTGACCTTCCCTTTGACCTTAGCGGACAGTCACATCCGTCACGCGCAGTAAGTACTATTTCCTGACATACTATAATATCTTGTTTGCAAATTCATATGCTAATAATATTCAGCCATGGATATGGATTGGCAATTCATATTCTGCTGCGCTCGTGGCCTGGACTGAAAAGGTGAATATTGCATCATATAATTGTCCTTTTTAGACAACCTAAAACTGATGGGTGTACCCTTATAGTTGATACCTAACGTATTCTGGGCCTACTATGCAAGTGGCGCGATGGTAAACTGTATGCAGGATTTTTGGCAGTTCAATTATCCTACTCAGCAGGTTAGCCAGCATCTAGGACCATTGGGTAATTTGGCAAAATACGAAATAAGTGCTAACTTATTAATTCTCTAGGGAATGCCGCAGGATTGCAGATACAGTTTAGAGGCAATAATCAGTCACGTTGACAGCGTTTTCCTATCTGGCTCGCCAGAGCAAAAGCACAGGCTGAAGACACGTTTTGGTCTGCAAGACTTGGATCGCCTGGATGATACGGCAAGTGCTCTGTCACGGCCTGTCATCGCATGGACTTTGATTCAACCGAGCGATACGCATGCCCAGTTCTTCGAAATGTGCGATGCTATTGGGAATCTTAATTCCTCTTGGAGCCGTGGCCATAAGGTTGGAAGCGAAATCAATCTTCAAAAGGCGCTGGGAAACTACGCTAACTGGTTCACAACATCCTATCTTCCTGGTTGTAAGTACACAAGGCCAGAGAGAAGGATCAACTCAATCTTGGTTCATTAATAACTAACGACAGCCTCAAGTATGTGAGAGCTCCGGCTACAGCGATTGGGCAGGCCGGAATAACGTGCAATGTCTTGACACTGCAAATCCCTCTTGGCAAGCGTTCCATGATCTTGCCGTACAGAATGAGGACCGAGTCTGGGATTGGATGATATGTAATTTTTTTTTGCTCTGGCAAACGTAAGTCTTTTCCTAGCCACGCTGCCTAGCCACGCTGAGTGATGACTTTCGTCATTTGTTACCGAGGCTAAGATGTTCTCTTTCTGCAGAGGTGCCCCAGTTAGCAGACCTACCATATTTAGTCGCCTCGTGGATTCTATGTATTACAAACGGCGATGCAAACTCATCTTTCCTGAAGAAGAAAACGTTACATATGCAGCACGGGTAACAGACGACTCAATTAATACGTTGACCGGAGGTTGGAACCACACAGGAAAGCGAATCCTATTTACCAACGGTGAGTTCGACCCCTGGCGTTCAGCGTCTGTATCTTCTGTCTTTCGGCCCGATGGGCCGATGCAAAGCACATCGCAACAGCCAATCATCTTAATCAAGGGGGTACAACACCAGGCCGATATGTACGTTCGCAACCGCATAAACAAAGACGTCAGAGAGGCTATGGATACTGGCATTGCGCAGATATCTAGATGGGTACTGGACTTTCACGTGGAAAAAAGCAAAACTCTTACGCAATATACTTCTCAAGTATATTGTGCACACTAGTCATCGCAGTCATAAAACTCAAAGACAAAATAGGCGGATACCGGGAGTACGGGAATAGAGGCAGTTTTGGAAGAATGATATTGTAAGCCCAGAAGTACCACGTATAGTCACGTGGTTACCCACTGACTAATAACGCTGCATTTAAATTTGCTCCTATCATGATACGCCTTACACGGACACAACACATCTTACATCCACAACTGCTTACATTGTCACTTCTCGTTAGTAGGCATCTTTCTCGCTTGGGGTCCTGTACAGTAGCATGCATATCGAACGCAATGGTCTCCTTTTTCGAAGATGCTAACACCATAGGCTAGCACATCTAGAGAACTGTTCCTTGGACCCTGATTTGAGGGCGCTAGGACAAGATTTTCACTTATGTACATTGCGAGATAGCTCGTTAGCTACTAACCATCCACACCACCTGCCCTTTAGGAGACCAGCATGTTTCAATACTAAATTCTTTTACAATCACTGCAGGTGATGTTCATCCTCGTGTCCTGTTACAATACTAACCCCCATAGCATGTCCGTGATTGCCCCCGTCACCAATCAGTCCGCCATCCATTGGCCCACTCATCACCGTGTCCATGCGGACATCAGGCTTCTTCCAGTCGTAGCCGCACGAAACATACTTGGTGTACAAAATGCTGTTGTACTCGCTATGGTTTAGATCCCACTGAACCATAAACTGCCCGCAGTGATATGTGTGAGCAAAACTAGTAGTCCAGTTGTCGGCAGGGCGATTGAACATGACTGCCCGCTGGTACTTCTGCCAGATGAGGACACAGTGAGACATGTGCTGATTAAGCGTGACATAGGCCCACTTCAGATTGCCAAGCAGCACCTCGTCGCGGGGGATCATGTCAGTCCCTTCGGGATTACGCGAGTAGCCCCAGTGCTTCGAGTCCCATTTAGCGTTAAGGGCTTCGTCGTAGCAGTCAGGGGGGGTCCACGCGAAATTATGGGATTCAAAGCGACACCCAAGTGCCCTTGCCTCTCCTGGTGTATTGCCGCATGATGCTATCGTGTATTTCTCTTCAACCCTGCGAACCCAGTAATCAGCGCCGACTATCATTCCTAATAGTATAGTACAGGTGGTGACTGCGAGGAACAAGAGCGACTTGAAGGAATGTTTTCCCAGGAAGCGAGATGGGTACGAGCAGCCTTCATTTGAGTCGTCGAATGCTGCCGGTACAAAATGCTGGTAGTGGTATGAGCCCTGCATGCTTTTTTCTCTAGCTGGTAACCTATGGCGAACTTGGTGAGTAACTGAATCAATGAAGTAGGCTCCAAGTCAGATACTAACCCATGCGAGAATGATGCCCAAATATGCTGTAAAGATAACCCGATGAAGCTCTTTCCGGACAGAATACAACGCAGGGTAATCAAAGGCTCATTTTCTGTGCTTTTTCGAGGTTGTGGCTTGTCGTTCAGCAACGGGCTGTCTATATCTCGGCTATTCTGGTAGCGCATGCTATGTATTGCTCGTAGCTCTGCCGACACTGGATAATACTTGATTGGTTACAATTTTACCTAGGATGAGATTCTAGGTGCATCTCCTGGAAAGGCAACGGCTCCACAGTAGCCGTTTCGCCTTGCTCGATATTCGGATATCGTCGCGTCTTTCTACGAAACCTCCGATGTCCTTCTGAGCGGCCCGAGGGGGCGGAGGTTTTTTTTTCTTTTAAAGAAAACCACATAACTTCTTGCCTTAATGCCTGCTACAGGCAATCGACGCGACATCATGGGACTATTCTTATATCGGTGGCGTGGCCACTACTCCAAACCGCTTCGGACCGACGATGGACTAGAAGCAATCACTCCACCAATGGACGAAAAATGGGCTCTTTCGACTACCAAATCGTGGTACAAAATAAGATCAGCTGTTGTTATTATAGCCTTGTTGACATTGTATATTTTCGGCTCGATTGCGGTCAGACTATTAACAAGCGGGACGTTATTGAGCCTTCCGTTGCACTATGGATCCTGTACAGGAAATCATGGTACGTTACAAATTTAACTTTAAAGCCCAAAGAAAAACAAGCAATTATTGACTCGAAATAGCTTCTATTCTTGGAGAAGTTGCTGTGGAACAGGTTAGGGCACCTGGAGGTTTGCTAAGCTTTATGTGAACAGTTATAGTTGTGATATAGTTAAATAACTTTGTATATAAAGCTGTAAGTAGGGCGTTGCAAGTGTCCTATAGTCTTGGCCGTAAGAGTGCCGTCGCTATTTAGTTTTAGTCCTAGCTCAACAGAAACGAGAGCTTTTATGTTGACCTTTCCCGTGATATGGCGTCTCTAGCGCGCTGCTGCCTTCTCTAGTATGACGGCCCATTCACTTGACTTAGTAAGGTGCATCCCTAAGTGATGAGACACATCATGTCCCGAGACAGATTGGTAGTCCGGACCTTCGACGTCTTCATGATATAGTGTCGTGGAGATGTCATTTATACAAAGTGTTAGTAAGTTAATTCTCTTTTAGTTTAGCAGGCTCCGACCAAGATTTTTGCAGTATTGATCATGCTATTAGTCGTTTTGTCAACGCCGTCAAAGAAGCCTTTAGTAAGACTCCCCTGTCTACTCGCCATCTCAGGAGCATTTTTAGACATAGGATAGCTGAGAAAGAAGCGCTTTTAAGGAAGTTCGTATTCTCGTACTTTAGAGATTACTTCAGTGTAGGTATGTACATGCCAAGACCTCCGTAGTAGGGAGTAGATGATCCCTGCATATAGGCCCAATGTGCGCCATTACGTCTTAGCATGCATCTGCCCGTATTAGCTCGTGTGTAAGTTGCTTATAACTAAAGACCATACTTGGGAACAAGCAAGCAAGCGTGCTTGGTTGCTTGCTTATTACGCTTGGTAGCTTGCCTATTCAGGCAAGCCAAGCGCCTCTCTATAAGCTCGGACACCTAGTAATGGCCACACCCAGTAGTGGCCACCCCAATCAAAACAGCGTCACCAAACTTTGAAGCCAAATATCATAGCAACAATGATTAAATTCGCCACTTGCTACACATAGAATCAAAAGTAGCACTACTAGAAGCAATCTGTCTAGTTATAGTGGTTTTTCTTTGCTGCCGTCTAGTAGTTTTGACTGTTTCAG